TAAAACTTAAGACTAATAATGTGCAATACATTAATTAATACTACTTAAAACTACATGTCCAATACATGTGGGAGCTTAACTAAGACTAACTTAATTCTTACTCTAGAATATTAAGCTTAATAATAGTTATCAGTATGCCTACGTAGAACCACCCGTCTTCCAGTCACTGTGATGGTATTTGTTGCAATACCGGAAATACAGGGCTGCATAACTCCTCCCCCCTTGATTCCGAAATTACCGGACGAAGTTTTCTTAGTCCGATAATTTCGGTACAAATATCTTTTACAAAATATTACAATTATTATAATTATGTATGTTATGTATACTTGTGTCCTTCACATTTATAACACTCTCAATTTTATCACTTTTTACACTATCAGTGGCTTTTATATGTGGTTCTGCTTCTGTAAATTGGTTAGTCCACGTCATTCAGGTTTGCAGCTGCTGATTTCGAAGATGTCGTCATTAGAATCTGTGATTTCTGGAATATTTATTATTGTATTAATATTTATATTGTAAGGGAGTCAATGTATATTCCTCTATATTTTTATGATGCTTTTTCAGACTGAATTCTTTAACTTTAGCTTCGCAGTTGTCGTCGGCTGAGATTATGTACGTTCCAATTAAATTATAGTATGATATCTCATTTCCACATTTCTTGATAACTAATACAGTAGTTTTTAAACAGAACATCCATCGATCAGTTTGTATTATTACAGCTTTCAGATGATTGAACACTGCTAAACTCATGAAGCTGACAGACAACACAGTTATCATTAATTAACATGGGCGAATAATTGTCTTAACACCAAACAGTAGTCATCAATTACTTTACATGGTGGAGAAGTGCCACCGTGTTCGACCTTTTCATCAAAAAGTTCAACAAATACCTTTATTTGGGTACAATAAGGGATGATTGGTTCATAAACATAGTTATAGGTAATGGGAGGATTCTGTAATATATGTATGTATTGGAATCAGCTAGGGGTATATCTAGAATAAATGTTATTTGATTTTCCTTTGTACATACTTTTAAATCTATACTGTGTTCTTATTTTAAAATGTTATCAAATTTTGCAGGAAATACAAGTTTGTTTCTTCGTTCAATAGTTTTTAACAATAACAATAGTTTATCGGTGTCGATAATAGACTGATGCAATGTTTTTAAGTTTATTAAAAGCTACTGCTATTTCATTTTCATCCAATTTGACATACATAGTTTGGAAATTGCATAGAAACAGGTTATATACTATTGCATAGAAACAGGTTATATATAAATCTAGAGCCATTAATAAAATTATTTGGAGCAACAAATTTTTGACCTTGTTGCTGAAGTGGAATTCCGGATTTAAAGTTTTGGTTAGTCATTTGAAATTCATTTTGTGGTACAAAATGTGGATTTGCAAATCTAAAATATGATGAATTATTATGTAACGTATTTACAGTTTGTTGAGGTTTGAAATATTGAGACATAGTATTTTGTTTCAATCTATTTTAGCGTTATATTGATTTATAAAATTCACTTCCTCGGTTACGACACTTAAGGGAGTTTCTAAACTAGCACATTGTCTAAGAATCACGATACAAATTAAATCTTGTGGTTAATTATAGGGAAACATATTTAAGGACATATTATTATCTAATATAATAGTAGCTGCTTTTACTCCTTTATCCTGTATTAAATTTACTTTTGCAAATAAGGTACTACGCATATGTATACAACATATCAACATATGTATCCTATGAAAGAAATCGATATATGATTCACCAGACTTAATTTACATTTGTTCTAACTTCATACCTATGCAATAAGAGAGTTCCAACAATTAATATCGTCATGCTCACTTAGCAAAGTAGCTGCCCTACCGATTGATCGGCTGCTTATCGCATGAAATACATACAATATTTGTGTGGCATTATTGGGCTCTGCGAAAGTACTGTATATGTAGTGAGATTTCTTAATAAATAAATTTAATAATCTTTTTTCCTTTTCACACTTAGATATCAGACAAAGTAAATCTTTAGATACTATACGTAATTGTTATTATAATAAATTGCCGATATTTGTGCAATTTATTTTGTTTGATATAAGATAAATCAAGTAGGTAACAATAAAATTCTACTGACTGGTTCGCGAATCTTCTTATATGAGAAACCTTTACGCACGAGATATTACCAGCTGCGCCAGTTAAGATTCGCAATTGCCCAAGGACGTTTTTAAAAGACTCTTTAGAACTTGAGACTAAAAATATACGATACATTAATTAATACTACTTAAAACTACATCTCCGATACATGTGAGAGCCTAACTAAGACTAAACTTAATTCTTAATCTAGAACAATATAAGCTAAAAATTGCTATCAGTATGTCTACAAAGTACCACTCATCTTCTAGACACAAATCAGCAACCTACGTCCACGTTTACACTTGAACTGTGGTGGTTTCCATTGCAATACCGGGAATACCGGGATATATAACTAGCTAATTTATATTACATTTTTTTCAGGCAGAAAAAAAAGTCGAACGTTTTTTTTTAAATGTCCTACGTCTGTCTCTTTTTTGCAGTGGTGCTCCAGCAATTATCAGAGTAGAAGTAGTTATTGTCAAAGGAGAAGAGAGGAGGAAGAGGAGGAGAAGAGAGAAGAGAAGGAGAGGAGAGAAGAGAAGAAAAGAGACGATGATAGTAGAGTAGAGTAGGGTAAAGTAGTGTAAATGAGAGTAAACTAGAGTATAGTAGAGTAAACAAGAGTAGACTAGAGTAAGCTAGACCAGACTAAAGAAGACTAGTCTAGAGTAGACTAAACTCCTCTAGTCTTTGCTGTTGTTTCTCTGCTGTTTCTTTCCTTCACGTTAGCTAGCTAGAATGACGTTTAATGAAGATGATACAAAAATATATGATTACATCGGAACAAACTCAATATTTTATTCAGTAAAATAATTTACAATTAAATAACTTTAAAATTCAATTATGAATAAAATTAATTTTACAGATTTTAAATTATATTCATCACTGGCAACACGCACTGGTTGTACAATCTCGTTTTCAAGTTTTGAGGTATACGTGACTAGAAGATTTGTCGTAATTTCTCCGAACGCTGCCCAGGCGAGTCGATTGACGTCTCGGTCGAAGTTGGACTTACCTAGTCGCACATTTATCCCAGGTAAACATACTCGACATCAACTTCGAGCTTAGTGCTCCCAACAACTACTGGCATAGGGTTGAGATGGACATTAAACATGATCATTGTTTTGTCCCTGTTCATCTTAAGACCTATCCGTTGGGAAAACGATTAAGGTCATTGAGCATAGTACTCAGGTCCTCCAGCGATTCTGCCATTAGGACTATATCGTCGGCAAATCGAAGGTGAGTGATGTACTCACCATTGATGTTGATACCGTATCCTTATCCCTGAACTCTTAATCGCTGCATTGGAAGACGTTTTCAAACTACTGGACTGGAAAGGATATGAACATATTAATGCCAATGGCGAGTACATCACTAATCTTCGATTTGCCGATGATATAGTCCTTATTGCAGAATCGCTAGAAAACCTATGCTCAATGACCTCAATAGTGTCTCCCAACGGATAGGTCTTAAGATGAACATGGACAAAACGAAAGTCATATGTAACGTTCATGTCACACATGTGCCGCTACTTGTTGGGAGCACTAAGCTTGAAGTTGTTGACGAATATGTTTACCTTAGACAAATAGTCCAACTAGGTAAAACAAACTCGACCGAGAGGACAATCGACGCAACTCAGTGCGGCAGCGTTCGGGATATTACGGGGACTTATATGAAGGGCATCACTTCGTCAGGCATACCTTAAAACGTGTAAACACGATTGTACAACCAGCGCGTGTTACTAGTGATGACCTATGGATCTGAAACGTGGTCTTTCACTGCTGGCTGTATGAAAAAGTTCAAGTTTGCTCAGCGAACTACACAGAGGGCAATGCTCTGACTTTCTTTGCGTGTTAGACTTAAAAACAAGGATATCCGCAATAGAACCGGAGTAACCGATATATCGAAGTGGTAATAGGCCAGCTATAAAGCTCGAATAACCGATAACCATTGAGTATAAAAAGTTCTCGAGTCGATGGATGAAGGTGGCTCTGGACCGTGCTTTGTGACATTCCTTAGGGAGGCGTGTGTTTAGTAGTGAACTTGTGAAGGGCTGTAATGATGATGATTATGATGACTAGAGTCGACACTGCATTTAGTTACGCAGCTGTGACGCTGTCGCATTCAGTTGCAGCGATGTCATCGCATTTACTCAGTCACTCGCTAGGCGTCAGTAGAATTGTCACATGCTGTGATGATGTGCTAAAAAAAATATGCTGTGATGGTGAAATACATTTTGAGAATGCCTTGTGTGGAGACGAACACGTGCCGTATTATCAAGGGTGGTGTATTTTTTTTACAATTGAAGGAGAATGGTATATGCACTTCAAACTAGGCAAGACTCACCATTTTATTTAATTACGCGGAAATAAGCAAAATAAGTTCGTACAACTTTAATTGTGAGGTTTGAGACAAAATTGCTTGAATTTGCCTTTAGTATAAAAAAAGTTTAAAGTCACAGTACAGAAGTGGGCGCCCGCTTCAGCGATAATAGTAGTATACATTCGTAGACACGTGTTTCATAGCTTTGGATTGATGACAAATTTTTTTCTCGGTAGAAAGCTGAGGTAGTGAGTAATCTTGAAAAATTGTAGTACTTTTAATTGTATACTTTATCCAAGAGAGAATTAACGTTTTTTGTGGTCACAAATATCAGAAAATAGACGCTAATGTTCCGTTCAAACATGTAGCAATGCCGGCAGGCTGTACATGGTAGGACGTATTTTAAGGGTAAATAAATAAAGTATTACATAAGCTATTTTGCTTCTTAAATATGATTCCGTTAATTTGTTATCAGCCCTGTAGACTATTATATTTTATTAATTTTGTTTATTGTTAGGAGGAAAATAACGCTTGCTTCTTTACCGAAAATTATTATATATTTACCTTATTTATATTTTCGTGACCTGCAAAAGCGTATATTTTTCCATCACTACCACAAAATTCCAAACAGTGGGCAGCAGTTAAAAGTATTTTTTGGTTTAAAATCGACGATCCGCATCTCCATTTCTTAATACAATCCATGTATAAAAAAACACTATGTGGGAAGTTTTCTATTTTCGCGTATTCACCATTTACAATAAGACGGTTACGGTTATCAGAGCATTTTAGTAATTTAACAAACATTAAAGTAAAAATTAGACAAAATTGTATTCCATGCATTTTACTAGCAGAATTAGCGGGCACCAACGTTGTTTGTTATAATTTATGGTTTCAGAATTATCAAACTAATTAAAAGCGATTGTAATGAGTTATATGTAATAAACTTTTCATACTTACATCACCAATAAAATAATCATTACTGCTTACATACGTGTAATATTCTTGTAGTGAGCGCAGGTAAATTAAGTAGCATACAAAATTAAAAATGCGTACACTGGAAAATTTCAATGTCAAAAACATACACTAAATATACACTGCGAGCACCGCTCAGTGCTCCCACTAGTGAAAAACTACGTTCTATTATGGACTGCCAGTATACTGCCGTAGTACCTTAGGGAAATATATGACGTCGTGAATCGCCGCCATTTTTGTACCGTGAGCACTGGCGCTTTTGAGGTTAGGTGCTCTCAGTACTTTGATCATGTGATCAAATACATAACAGATTTAACGGATTCCACGAATGATTTGTTAATATTATTAATTAATATTGTTATTCAAATAAACTCGGACATTAAGTTTTAAAAGCAACAACATTCAAATAATATTTTTTCTTGTTGAACAGAAAACGTTTACATGATAAATATTTTCATTTGAAAATAGTGTCGAAAAATGGGGATAACAGTGTACTGGACTGCGTTCCGTTTATAGACTAACCAGTATAGCAAACAAAAAAGGAATGGCTTCACAGTATACTGAATTGACGTCACACCTTTCAGTAGTCACAGGGTATATCGGAACATACCCTTAATAAACTCAAGTAGACATTCAAGCCCGTTGAAAATTATCCTCGATGACAAAATTATATTGTAAGGCTTACAGTGAAAGAAAACATATATTAAGTTGTGTGCATTACAGCATATGTATACTGTTTGCTAGTGAAGCACTGATGTTTGTGAAACGCTCCCTAAAACGAAGACAGACGACAGTACTAACTATACTTTTGATAGCTCTATAAAGATAGCAGTGAAAAGTCAGCAGAAACATAAAAATTATATCTAGGAATTTGTAGCTAATTTGTTGCTAATTAGTTACCAAAATCGCGATTTTGTTGCTCCAACCGGTTTTGAGTAAATTGAATTACTGCTATCTTTACATTAAGATAGCAGTAAAAACTTTCAATCAAGCCCGCCGTAGCGGATAAAACGGTATAATTTGTTGCTAATTCGTTGCTGACAAATAATGCAAAAAAATATAAAAAAAATAAAAATTAAAAACGAAATAAAAAAATCATCAAAAATTAATAAAAATCAATTTATGTTTTGATACTGATTCTGAAGTTCCAAATTAATGAAAATTTTGCTGCTAATTAATAAATAGATAAATAACTCCCAGACAGCCTACAACTTCATAAAATCGGTCGAAAAGCTGTATCAAGTAATAAGTTACAAATAAATATGTACATGCTGCCTATACGGGAGATTCAAAAATAGAACAACAGATATATTGTTGCTGTTCAGTAATGAAAGCAGAAAAAAAGAGCCACCAACAAAATAAAATAGATCGATAAGCTGCACCAAGTAATAAGTTAATAATTATATGTGTACAAGCTATATCATGAAAATTTTAGGAAAAAAATCTAGCAGATATTTTGTTGCTGGTTAGTAACCGAAGCAGAAACTCATAAAGAGCCAGCAACAAAATAAAATAGATCGACAAGTTGCATTACGATGTTAGTTACAAATTATTTGTGTACATGCTATATTTTTATGAACATTTTAGAAAAAAAGTTAGCAGATATTTTATTGCTGGTCAGTTATAGAAGCAGCAATTCATACAGAGCCATTAACAAAATAAAATCGATCGATAAGCTGCACCAAGTAATTAGTTAATAATTATTTGTGTACATGCTATATTAGTCGTTAGAGTTTAGTAGTGATAGTGACCACATCAATACTAAATGTCTTTTATATTTTAAATAAATCGCATCGCATGAAAACACAATGTATCTCTCAAGTAATACATATTATATTAAATTAGATTGTTTAGTGCGATGGCCAAGTCAATTTATATATATAAAACATAAAAGATATTTAATATTGATATGGTCACTATAAGATGTTGTTAGGTTAGCTAATTACTACTAGCTAATTATAAGTTATGTTTTTGATGGCATCTCATTTCTTTTTGTAGATAGTTATATCTAGGAGGTACCTATCTACTTCTACTATAATATTATTCCATTATATTATACATAAAGGGTGTCTCAGCGCTGATTTTAAACTTTAAACACAAATTTCTCGGCAACCGGCGGGGTTAGCGGGAGGGGAGAGGTAGCGTTCGGTAGGTGATTAGTGCGGGCTTTTTAGTCGCTATATCCCAGTGGTCTGGCGCGCACCACGCGTACGCAGTAGAGGCGTATTTTTGCAACGAGTTTCCGCTGAGGGAAGCACAGCGCAAATTTTGTAATCGCTATGAAATCCGCCGTTTAAGTGATGCCCCGAGTATTCAGTTAATTAAGTCGTGGGTAAAAAAGTTCAGAGCGACAGGATGTTTAAAGAAACATTCAATTGGCCCTCGAATTAGACCTGTTCCATCGATTGAAAACATCGACCGCGTCGCCGCTGCGGTCGCGGAGCATCCACGACGATCAGTTAGAAAACATGCTGCCTGTTTGAATCTTCATCGTTCAAGTATTCAACGAATTTTGGCCTTAGATTTAAAATTACATCCTTATAAAATCCAAATAGTTCAAAAAATCAAACCAGAAGACTACAAGAAGCGAAAAATTTTCTGTCAGAAGATGTTAGAGATTTTTTCAGAGGAAAATGGGATGTTCAATGTTTATTTTAGCGATGAGTCACACTTTCATCTCGAAGGGTACGTCAATCGCCAAAATTGCCGTTACTGGTCACCCAGCAATCCAAAACAAAAACATCAAAAGGCATAAAAAAGCCCCAAAGTTACTGTATGGTGCGCAATATCGGCGAAGAACATCATCGGGCCATTTTCCTTCAGGATGATCGAGGTACAACGGTTACAGTGACGAGTGAGCGGTACATCGACTTGATTAATAACTTTTTTGTACCGCAACTGCAAGAAGAGGATGTTGATGAGTCCGGTGTATGGTTTCAGCAAGATGGGGCCACAGCCCACACAGTTAGGATCTTCATGGACACACTAAAAACGTTGTTTCCGGGAAAAATCATAAGCCGCTTTGGAGACATATTGTGGCCACCCAGATCTCCCGACTTAACCCCAGCTGACTTTTTTATGGGGTTATCTTAAAGCAAGGGTTTATGATACCCCTCTTACGAATTTAGAGCAGCTGAAGATTAAAATAACGACAGAAGTGAGGGCCATATCAATTGACGTTCTGCAGCGTAATTCTGCAAATTCGTTAGTCCGCTTTGAAGAGTGCATTCGTCGTGATGGAAGACATCTTGACGGTGTAATATTCCGTATATAAAATTAGCACTAATGTACTATAATTTACTACAATTAAAATATTATAAACACAATTGTTTTTTTTTTATATAAATATTCAAAGTTTAAAATCGGCGCTGAGACAACCTGTATATAGATACACTGATTCATTCACTGCAAATGTAACTTTGTAATCCTGTATATTTATATGGGATTACAAAGTTATTAATGCAGTTGGTGTATCTCAAAAACTGGACCGAAATTGCAAAATATTTAATTTTAATTTTCCCTTGATTTATATACTAAAAAATAGTTGTATTCCAAATTTGAAGCTTCTATATCTGCTAGAAGTGCCTTAGAGTTTTGATGATCGGTCAGTCAGTGAGTAACAAAATTAAGAAACTTTGACTAGTTATAATTCTTAAACTACTCGTTCAAATTTAATAAGATTTGAAACATATCGAGATTATACAATGCCTACTTGGTTACTGAAAATTCAGGCTTCTAGTTTTATCCACAAAGAAGTTATAGGATTTCGAAAATGGCCTTGAACTGCTTCGAGAAAAGGATGGTACGGCCGTGCCGCTTTTTTGCTCGACTTGGCGGGGGCACTGGTGCCCCGCTCCCAGATTACTAACTTAATACTTGGTGCAGCTTATTGATCGATTTTACTTTGTTGCTAGTTCTTTGTGACATATTGCTTCCGTTACTGACCAGCAACAAAATATCTGCTAGATTTTTTTCCTAAAATTTTCATGATATAGCTTGTACACATATAATTATTAACTTATTACTTGGAGCAGCTTATCGATCTATTTTATTTTATTGCTGGCTCTTTATGCTGTCATTACTAAACAGCAACAATATATCTGTTGTTCTGTTTTTGAATCTCCCGTATAGGCAGCATGTACACATTTATTTGTTACTTATTACTTGACCGATTTTATGATGTTGTAGGCCGTCTGGGAGCTATTGATCTATTTATTAATTAGCAGCAAAATTTTCATTAATTTGGAACTTCAGAATCAGTATCAAAACATAAATTGTTTTTTATTAATTTTTGATGTTTTTTAATTTTTAATTTTTTTTAATTTTTATTTTTTTAAATATTTTTTTGCATTATTTGTCAGCAACTAATTAGCAACAAATTATACCGTTATATCCACTACGGCGGGGTTGATTGAAAGTTTTTACTGCTATCTTAATGTAAAGATGCAGTAATTCAATTTACTCAAAACCGATTGGAGCAACAAAATCGCGATTTTGGTAACTAATTAGCAACAAATTAGCTACAAATTCCTAGATATAATTTTTATGTTTCTGCTGACTTTTCACTGCTATCTTTATAGAGCTACTTTAGATGATGGGTGAAATATAAAATCGATCTTGATGAAAAAAAAAAAAAACATCTTTTCACAACGTTTTATTAGCTTTATTTATGCTCCATCATGTTAGTACAGCTAAATGAAATTATAGTTTCATAAAAAATACTTAAACATAAAACCAGCGGTGGAATTACTGAATTACAATCAGCTGATTAGGGGTCGATGTACGCGCGAACGCCGAATTCGCGCGGTCCGCAAGTAGCGATGGTACCACAATACCTAATAATTTATAACAATTGTTTAAATACCTAA